ATGGCTTGATGAGACAGTTCATGGGAGGGACCAACGGTCTCCCCCATGCTAAAGAGGACTCTCGTATCTAAATACCCCTCTCACACATGGAGAAGGGATCTTCTTCTCCACCTTCTACCTATGATGTTACTCTGCCCATTGGTAGAGCCATCCTTGCCACACACATCCCCTTATGTACCATGGGAAGCTCTACTACTGCCTTGGTCTCTACCATTGCCACTATGGACACCCCTATATCAACATACTTCATCCTTCATGGGACACATTTATGTACACTAATAGTACATTGGAGCCGTCTGTGGGAATCGAACCCACGACCACGTAATCTCAGGTTTTTTTTGGAGTGGGAGAAAATAGCACTCCTTTCATAGTAATGTGAAGTGAATCAAGTGAATGTGCAGTAAATGCAGCTAAGTACTTCCACAGTTACTTCAGTTTTAGAAATTTACAAATATCAATTGAATCTTGTGAGATAAAATATATAGCGTGTTTATTTTTCCTAAAGTTGACACATATTTAAGATTTAAATGAGATGCCATATATGATTATAAAACACCGAAAAGATCATCTAAGTTGCATACTTGTACTGGCCATGATTGTATTGAGTGATATGATTGAGGAACTTGGCCCTCCATTCACCAAGTTTGTGGCTTTTAATGGATAAAGCTTCAACTTTAAGAGTGGAACTTTAAGAGTGGAATGAGGACCTAACCTATATATATATAGACATCCAACACTGATAAGCCCTCTCATCATAGGCTCTTAAGGAACAAGCCTACACTAGAAGTCGTTTGAGATATCAGTCCAACAAGGTTTACTAGATCACAATTAAAAGTATCACCCTTAGCCTATTTCGCGTTTCATATGAATAACTGACTTATTCATCCAAACAAGAAAACAAGCACGAGCATAAATAAATCACTGTCTGACATAAAACTATATGTCAGTATATGTTCTCATAAGGTACACATCAACCATATAGGCTCATATATTAATAACAAGTGGGCCAAATAGTGCAAGCAAATGCACAACAAAATCATAAAAATAATAGTGTGTAATAGTATGATCACAATATCAAAATATCTCGTCATGCCAAAAATTAAAAAGATTCTCATTATACAAACAAAGCGTAGCAAATGAATAGTCAAGCTTATCAAAGGAGTTCAACAATCCATAGTTTCAATGCGCCCATGAAAAGTAAGAATCTAAGGACTTAGGTTAATGCATTTGTTAACATAAAGTCTATACCAATGTATTATGTGTACAACCAACTAGCTCAAAAGGTCCCTAGAGTTTAATTAGGCATCCTCCAAAATCAAAATATGTTTATCCAATCACATCCAGGTTATTTATCATACTGTATACAAGCATGTAGTTTTTGCCTTTTGCAAATATTTCATCATTCTCTAATTAGCATCAATCCAGTGACCAACTCCGAATTAGGGAAATATATCCTAAGAGCACTATGAGGAGAAGCTAACTAAGTCAAGTATTGTGCAAATCCATATGTACATCTAGCTCCCTAAAATCTTACACAAAGAACCATTTTATTGACTCTTCAACAGGTGAACTCTAATTCATATAAATCTTGTCACCTTAGTGACATACCTAGGCTTGCAATATTTTATGTCGAACTTTTTAAATCTCTAGTGTGGGATTTTTTACAATCCCAACAAAACAGAAGTCGAAGTCCTATCCGTATTAATTTAAGAACCTAAGACAAAATTATGCATGCTGGAGTTTTTACCTAATCCATGTTGTCTAGCAATACCCAAGACTAAGCTCTGTTATTAACCTCGTGAATATTCAAAAAGGCTTCGACTTGAGGAGAAATATATTAATGATGAGACTTAAAATTGAGAAAGAGAATGCTGGAAATTGAAATTTGAACGATAAATTAAGGGAGGATTATATAAGTAAAAAAAAAATGTAAATCCATTGCTTAGGGTTGTTTCAAAATATGATATCAAACCCATATTGTAGTTTGTCACTCTAGCTTCATGGACATCTCCTCTACTTTTTTTTTAATAATGCTTCTCGTGCCTCCTTCCTCTTCTCCGTATAGGTACTCAAGTATTTATGAGTATTTAAAAATTCAAAATATAACTTTAAAAATCATTAGAAAAAACTTTAACAGCACATATGACAATTTTGTTCAACAATTTTAAATTCTTACAAAATTAAGAAATAGCTCAAATAACATACAAAGTTTAATTATATTTTTAAATAATCAATTTACATAAAAAAATTATATGAATAATATATAAATATATATATATATATATATATTTATATATATATATATATATATATATATATATAATATAAATTTAATATTTCTCCGGAAATATTAAAAAAAAATTCTACCCACTCTGAATCTCTAGGAGGTAAAGATAAAATTATTTTCAACTTTTATATTATATATAAATATATATATATATATATATATATATATATATATATATATATATATATATATATATATATATATATATATATATGGTTTTAATTTTTTCATGCAATAGGAGAAAAAAAAATTATGTTATACACACATTTTGTATGAGGCCCATATCTACTAAAAAAAATATTGCACAAAATCGAAGGGTCACTGATAGGAAAAAATAATTTTCTTACAACATCAGAAAATGTTTCTCATGTAAAATGAGAAAACTATTTCCCATATATATATATATATATAGTATGGACAGGATATTCTTACACCGGTGTAAGAGTTAGAAGTCTTACACTCAATCTTGACCATTGATCCACTTGTATCCAATGGCTCACATTACTAAAAAATTTGAACCCTTAGATATAAGTGAGATTAACGGACAAGATTAAGAGTATAATTTACACTGATGTAAAATGATCCTGACCCATATATATATATATATATATATATATATATATATATGAGATCAGTGTTATTAGAATGGGCTCAAACCAGACGGGTTAACTCGAAACCTGGATAATCGATCATTTTTTACCGGTTCGAGTCAAGTATCGGATCGGCCATATATCATATCAGTGAAAACTGCTTCGAACAAGTCGGGTTTTATCAAAACCGGTGACCTAGTCGGGTCATCAAAATCGGTGGGTCATGTATTTTTATAATATAAAAAAAAAAAAAGCAAAGTCTTCTCATCTTGTCTTTAAAAGGTGTGGAACTCCTTTCAAATAATTTTATTGTTTTGTTTTCTAGTAATATATATTATATTCTCCTGTAGTGACCTCAAATTTCAGTTTCAAAGATTGAAGCAATTTGCACGCAGTAGATTAAGCTTTTGGGTGAGACTATATTAATTGTTTATTATATATCTAACATGTCTCTCACATGAGAGTCCATTGGGTTTGAATGATGGATTATGCATCAAATCAACCTACCTATGCTAAGAAATTCCACAAGAGAAAGTGGGGGGGGAGGGAGGGAGGCGGGGAGGATCGAACTCGTGATACCGATGCTTTAATACCATGTAAAGAACCAATTCAATCTAAAAGCTTAAACTTTTAGGTGAGACTACATTAATGATTTTATATATCTCTAACAACAAATGTCTTATAATTATTAAACATGGTGGTTAGTTAAGAATATTTGGGAGAGGAATTATATGGGAACAGTGACCATTTTGCCACTGTTCACCAAAATATTTATCAGACTGTCACACCAACAGTAAAAATTCTCAGAATGCCACGTGACAAAATTCGCTACGACTGGTAGCGAATTATGTTCGCCAATGATTTTGTGACACGTAGCACACTTTCGCAAGAAAAAGCCGATGTGTCATATTTCGCTACCAGTGGTAGTGAATTTGGTCTGCAATATGACCACGTGTCATTGGCCACAAAATCCGCTATCAGTGATAGCGAATTATGACACGTGACAGTCTGGTAAAAAATATTGTTCGCGTGACATTTGGATGAATTTTTTGTCAAAAAATGACATTTTAGTCACTGTTCCAATTATATGTGGTTACCTGATATTTGATACTTGAATTTTTTTTATTTCTTTTAGAATATGCTACATGCGATTACCATGTATTACTTTTTTTATTCCTACAAACATTATATATGTTTGCAACCCTCCATAAATTTTTTTACATATATTTCAGTATTTTTATGAATTTATATATATAAAATATAGATTTTCATAATAATAACCAAAATCATATGGTTCAATCAATGTGACTCGGTACTCTAACCGAATAAATAACCAAGTCGAGTCTAATAATGTTGTCTGAGATAATTCTCGTGCTCCCCTGTTTTTGAAAAGCACATATTTCCTATAGTAAATTTTTTTAGTACTACAAGAGTATCAAGTTCTGTAATCTCTTTTACTAAAAAAAGAAAATTTTCTTTCCATTTTAACTCATATTTTTCTTTATAATTCCTTTTTAAGTACTAAATTTTTTTTCTTTTAGCGAGAATATATCTAGAGTACCCGAGATTTTCTCCTCCTGCGCGTCAACAGGTAATTATCGCATATTCCATTGATGCAGTGATTGTTGACTTTCATAGCCATCAATTTATAAATAATTCGCGCGTGGCTGCTACATCATTGTCAACCACTGCATTTTTATATTAATCACTAATCAAACCATTAATCGTCTTCACATCTGGCCCAAAATACACAATATTTTATGAGGGTTAATTAAGATGCCCTGTTCTCACTTTCAGAGTCAAATCATAAGACGACACAATCCATCCAACTAGCCAGCGAGGTTTGTATTGTTTTCCTCTTTACTCCTCATGCCCAACGTTTTTTTAAAAAAATAAAATAAAATAAAATAAATAATATTTTCCATCAAATTTGAAGAAGTGAATAAAAAATATTTTCGATCAAAATCGTTGTTCTTTCTGGGAAATCACTGAGCAAAACCAATGCGTTGGAATTAGCAGTATTGTTTTAACAGTTGAATTGATTCGAACTTACACCTTGTTTACCTCATCAGTGTTCCTCCAATAAGCATAAAAAGCCTCTCGAGTCCAGAGTCTTCGCTGAAAGTGCTACCCCATATTCAAAAAAACGCCATAGGCGACTATTTCACATCCTTCCCCATTCTCATCGTCAATGTCCCCTTCAACTTCCGTGTCACAATCACACCCATCAATCTAATAAACAATCCACAAAATACTGAAAACAGCAATAATAATATAAATTAAACAAGCACCATTATTCTCCATCAAAATTAGACAAAAGCATAAACAATCCAACAAGAACAAAAAAACTCGCCCTTGTCTTCTTCTACCACCATGGACAGGCTAGTGAAACCAGATGTAAAGGAAGTGGAGCTGATATTCCAGAAGGGTCAAAAGTGCAGCACCTCCTTCAAGCTCACCAACCTTATGCACACCATGTCCGTGGCAGTGTGTCTAACCACCACAAACCCATCTTTGTTCTCTTTCAACAAGCTCTTCTCCATAATCCCCCCACTCTCTTCTGCATCTTACACCCTCCAACTTTCTCAGCCCTCCGATGAACCCCATCTTACGGACCCTCCTGACGTCATCATCATCCGAACCTCCATGCTCCCCACCGGTAAGGCCCACGCCGACGACCTCCGCCGCATCTTCTCCAAACCGGGACCCCACGTTTTCCGCGATGCCGTTATAACCGTTTCCTTCGTGGGCCCCGACGTCGCAGAGTTCCTCATCTCGCACCATTCCCAAATCCCCGAAAGCCGCTACCTTTTCAAGAAAGCCATATCCGCGTGCGCGAAATCCCAGCTCGCGGAATTGATGAAGCCCGCCGTCGAATGCGGAGACGCGGAATTCGCCGCCGGTTTGGTCGGCGCCGGCGGCGACGCCAGTTTCCGGGACTCGGATGGGAAATCCCTAATCCCCCTAGCAATCAGGGCTGGGAAATTGGACGTGATGAAGCTTCTGGTAGCTTCTGGTTGTGAAATCAACGATTCAGTGGACTTGGTTTTGCACGAAGCCGCGGCGATGAACCGAATCGATTTCATGGAGTTTTTGTTCGAGTCGTTTGGTGATGAGTTGGATGTGAACTCTGTTAACCCTAAGGGGATGACTCCGATTCATGTGGCGGCGATTGAGGGGCACGTGGGGGTGATTGAGTTTTGCGTTTTGATGGGAGGGAACCCTAACGCTGTGGATTTGAAAGGGTGGACCCCACTTCATTACGCTGCGTCGAAAGGTCAATTGAAGACCGTGGAGTGTTTGTTGGAATGCTCCAATGTGAAATACGTTAAGGACATAGAGGGCAAAACGGCGTTTACTGTTGCGGCGGAGAGCGAGCATTCGCAGTCGCAGTTGCTTGATTTGCTTGGTTGGGGCGATGCGGTGATGCGTGCGGCGAGGGTTGACGATGTTCACGGGATGAAGAGATGGTTAGGGGAAGGAGCTGCGGTGAATAGAAGGGACCAGAATGGGTGGACACCTTTGCATTGGGGTGCATTCAAGGGTCGAATAAAGAGTGTGAAGCTATTGCTTGAACATGGTGCTGAGGTTGATGCTGTTGATGATGGTGGTTACACTCCCTTGCATTGTGCTGCCGAAGCAGGTCATTTGCAAGTTGCTCTTTTATTGATTGCACACGGTGGGTCTCAATCAAATCTCAAGGCCTTTACGCATCTTAACTTGGAGACTCTCCATAAAAAACATGTCTCTCTTGATTATGTATCTAAGAGCGTTGCTTTAGGAGAATTCTAATTATTTTTCTGTGTATAGTGCTGTGACTTTGTATACTTTGTATTTTTTTTTTTTACTTGTGGATGGTAGTTGATGAAATGAGGAGTGAAAGAACGGGCTCTGTTCTGCTTCCAATGAAGCTATGCATCCCACTTTAATAATAGGCCCTTTTGAAGGGCTCTTATATCTTCATTTTCAGGCTGTACTCGTTAAACAAAAAAAATGTGATCAATCTCTGATAAGCCATAGAAGCTCAAAACCAGTCTCTTGCTACGAAATACTTAAAATCTCAGGCATTTTTGGATAAGTCATTTTTCACAATCCCAAATGCTTTTCATTCTCTCTTGTCCTTTTTTCTAGTCCCTTTTGTTTTGTCCACGGGTTTCGTCAAATCGCATCCAACATATGAGGATAGCCCCATTTTTTTTGAACATGTTAGAACTAGTAGACTAATAAAGTTAGAACATGACATTGTTGAAATAAGATGCCGCCACCAATTCAAATGTCATTTCTTACATTGACTAGCAAACGGACGGTCTAAATAATGCTTAACCCAAATTGCCAAAAGCACGGTGGCGTTAATAAAAATAAATAAATAAAGGAAAAATCATTTCTCTAATGATTAGAGATAAAATTATCTCTATTGAGCCTAAAATAAGTCGTTTCGGGGTTAAAGAATTAAAATAATAAAAATTAATATAACCTTAGAATAAATTAGAATTACAAAAATATATTTTTTCCAATTCCATAAAGACGTCGTTTTGGGCTCACTGAAGATAAGTTATCTCCATTATAGACTAAACTCATAAAGTGAAGAGATAAACTTATCTTCAGTTAGCTTAAAACGACGTCATTTTGAGATTAAAAAATTAAAATGGTAAAAACTAATATAACCCTGAAATAAATTAGAAATACAAAAATATATTTTTCTCAACACAAAACCATGTCATTTTGAACTTGTCGGAGATAAATTATCTCCATTGATTGGAAATATACTAAACCCATCAAATAATATGGGTTACTGTACAAACTGATTTTTACTTATAAGTTTATTATAGTATCAGTCAATGAAAATAACTTATTTTTGATAAACCCAAAATAATGTCGTATCAATTTTATCTTATTTACGGGAGATAATTTATTTATTTATTCTTATCTTATTTTTCATTCTGTTTTCAATTTTATTTTATTTTTTCCTCAATCTTTTAATATTTTCTATTTGGGTTTATCGACCATGGACCCAACTGATTTAAAAGAAAAGTCTTATTGATGATGATGTTTCGAAAATTGATTTTATGATAAGTACAATTAATTTTGAGAGAAGTAAGGCAAAAACAATTCTTTTAAATTAACTTCCATTTCTAATCATAAATTAATTTTTTAACATTAATTTTATTTAAATAAAATTTTTAAAAGAAACGGACCCTAAGTAATACAAGATGCTTGGCGATTGCTACATTTGTATTTATTTTCCTATGAAGAAAGAGACAAATTTGTCCAATAATTAATCATTTTGACGTAAGATTTGTAGTTGTTGGTTTCAAGAAAGCACCTTCTTGAATTATTTATTCTCAAGATATTTTCAATTCCAATTCTATAACATTGTTGAGTACTTCAGTTTCAAATATAACCAGAAAGTTCCTATAGAAGAAGAAACGGCTATGTATTTACCAAAAAAAAAAAAAAAAAACGGCTATGTGGAATTTCGGTTTTTCCTGCTTCAATGCGCAAACTCAGCTAAGGTTCGTGATTCAACGCTGCCTTTACGTTTTTTTCTTTGTCCATTTGGAAATTTCTGATGGCTTAAGGGGTCGTTTGATTCAGGAGAAATTTTTTGAATATTAAGAAAATGGTTGGAAAATGAGTTTGATAGGAAAATGTAAAAAAAATTGTTTGGTTAGAAAAAATTTACTGGACAAATTAGATAAGATTTATAAAATCTATATTTAGTTTAAGGTAAAATTTAGATGGATAAATAATATGAAATTACAAATTCAACCCCAATACAAATATATATATTGAGTACAAGTGGCCACTGACCGTGCCATTTGTCATCCAACAAAAATTTCCATCATCTATATTACTGTTTCATCATCCTCTACTTGCTAAATGGCCAGAATTATTTTTGTCATCCTCTACTATCCTCATCTTCTTCACGGCCATTGTTTTTTTATCCTGCACTCCTTTAAAAAATATGCAATTCAAAGGTTGCATAAACTGTATAACAGTTATAGATGTATTCATCATGTAGATGCGGGGAAGGAAACTGAAGGTGATTGTTGCGCAATGTGTCTACACCAATTTCTCTTTCAGGCTTCCTCTGCAACGTGTGGGAGAAAGCTTCCAACTTCTCTTTCAGATCAAGAGAGTATAATGGTCAGGAAGAAATTGTGAAAAATGATTTAGGTGTCTATCCTCATAAAACCACCTTCAACATGTGTTGCTAATCAGTGAAAAAGCTAGCATTCAAGACCAAATTGAAAATGCTATACAAATAGGATGAATGGGGAATTGAAGTGAATCTCTTAAACCAAACAAGTGTTTTGGGGATTGCTTGCTTCATTTGCTTAGGGAAATTTGTAAAAACCTTCAACCAAACACCATCTAAATGAATATGCATTGGGAATGACGAGGAGTTCACGAACCTCTTGGGTTCCGTGACCATTGCAAAATGGACGGGTGGTTCTGTAAATTTCAAAAAAATTAATAATAGCAGTATTAAAAATTTCAGTAATGAAACTTTTTTGTGTCTTTTCTTTTGTTAATAAAATCTAGATTTTTTCTATTTATGTGAAGAGAGAGAATACGTTTGGAATTAATGTTTCTGTTACAGATTTTATTTTTATTATTTTATGAATGGTTGATTTGTTTAAAAATTCTCTCTTTCTGTAATTATTGCATATAAGTTATTTGCAGTAAGCTCAATATCAAGTTTTTTTTTATATAGAAATCATGGTGTTTTTATAATTTTAATTTATTTCAAGGTTATAATATTCTTTATATTTATAATTTTTTAAGATTTCAATACCAAAATGACATCGTTTTGAAAATAAATACAGATAACTTATATGCAGTAACTGCAAAAATATTTTTTCCTTTGTTTAAATTTAAATAGCGGATTGTGGGTAGTTAAGTTGTTTATTTTGTTATTTGAATTTCAACTTTAGGCATTATTAGTGGAGCCTATATAGTGTTAGTGGATAGTTATTTTGTTGACTTGTATTATCTATTTGAATAAGGATCTATCAGAAGGATTATTTGGAAAAAAAAAACTCTATGCAAGAGGTCAGACTTCCTCAGTAAAGCAATCAGAGGTCAGACTTTCTCAATAAAGTCAAATTCCCATTATTTTTTATAAACAAATTCTTATTTTTATTTATTGTGTTTGTAACAATTTCTCTTTATAGTGATAAAATATTTTCTAAACCCGTAAATGACATTATTTTGGGATTTGAAAAAAATAATGCATGATATTTTAATAAAATTTATAATATAACAGGAAAATCAAATTTCAAAAATATCCTATATTTTTTTTTCTAAACCCCAAGATAAATATTTCTCATTAATTAATTATTAATTCGCAATAAATGATAACGTTGATTGGCGGAAATCAACGGTTAAGATGTGGTCGTAACATTGTGCGTAAATTTTTTGGATGTTTCTTTTTTAGATCATTATTTGTGTGTCACATTATTGGTAGCACTCTCTGTTTCTTTTTCATTGCTTCTGTGTTTTTGCGTTTTTCTTTAAATTTTTTATCACTAATCTATAGAGATCTTTTTCTTTTTTATTTCAAAATATTATTCTTGATTATTCGATATGACATTTGTTGCTTTCAAAGGAAGGCCCGGATAATGGATAAGTTATTCTATGGATCAGTGCCATAAAATTTACAAATGTTTCTTCTCACGTGTAAAGAGTAAAAAGAAAAAAGAAAAGAAAAATCAGGAATAAAATAGTCAAAAAAAAGTTTTGATTGTGAGTGGAACCAGAAAAAAATAACATGGCCAGGATCATATAAAATTTTTCCTGGATAATGGGGTTTGGTCTAATTCGTAAGTTCAAAATTTATATTAAAATGCATGTTGAATTCAATTTTCGCTAGTTCACATATAAATATCAATGTAAACCATAACTAAAGCTTAAGCTCCCCGTGTGAATGCAAATTTGTAATTTCAATGGCAACAACACAATAAAGCGGAGTTACATGTGATCTAACGCTAATCTCATTATACTGTAAATTTCCAATATTTTCTCTTCATAAATACATGTAACAACAGACTTTTTTTAATATATTTTTTAATTTTTTAATATGGTAGCACTCTCTGTTTCTTTTCTTTTTTGGATATTACAGTGAATCGAACCGCACACCTAATACACCCTAAACACACCCAACACCACTAGGCTATCCCTAATGATCTAAATAGCAGCTCCAATTAAAAAAAAAAAACTCAAAAGGGTATCAAAATACTACAAAGGATGAGAGAGCATCGCAAGGGAAGAAAGAAGGGGACGTTTGAAGAATTTTTTTTTTACTAGAAAAATACAATTACCGGAGAAATGGTAAGAAAGTAAATTTGATAGAAGAGTTTAAGAAAAGATGTTTGGTTGATCAAAATATTATCACGAAAATATTTGTAACAGTGTTATTGTGAAACATTTTTCATTACATTATTTTTCACTTTCCTATCCATATCCAAAATACCATGTCTCAGCGTGTATTTTGAAATAGTGTTATTGTGTCAAAAATCAACACAAACCACCTTTCCTATCCTTTCAAGTTGTCTAATATTTTTTTTTCAGTAGCTTGTACCAAACGTGGTATATACTAATGTCCACCCACACTTCCCCATCAAACAAAAAATAAAACCTATACCAAACACATCCTAAATGAGCGGGGCCTAGAGAGGCGAAGGAGAAAAAGCACAACTACAAAGGAAGCATATAGGATTATGCAACTAGGGGTGTTCGCGGTCTGGATTGGATCGGTTTTGAAAGCAAAAATCATCTGATCCAATCCTTTCAGTTTGATCATATCATCATCTATTCGGTTTGGATTTTTTTTCAAATCCGATCTGATCCAATCTAATTTTTTTCGGTTTGGATTGGATCGGTTTTCGGTTTTTTGAAAATCCTAAAATTTATTTCATGATTATTGTGCAAATAGCATTTTTTTATATATTGGCTTTGTAATTTTATTTTATTTTGAAATACACAAGCATTAGTAAA